CTATAAAGAACTTAAAAAGATCAGACCTCCCAAATTTAAATACCCAATCCAAAAATGGGCATCTGAAATGAACAGATATTTCTCAAAGAAGTAGAAATAGCAAATAAACATATGAAAAAATGTTCAACATCACTGGTCATTCGAGAGATGCAGGTTAAAACAATGCTGAGATTCCACCTCACTCCAGAAAGAATGGCTGCTATCATGAAATCAACCAATAACTAATGCTGGCGGTGCTGTGGGGAAAGAGGAACACTGCTCCACTGCTGTTGGGAGTGTAGATTGGTGCAAGCACTGTGGAAATCAGTATGGAGATACCTCAAAGAACTAGGAGTGGAAGTCCCATTTTACCCAGCTATTCCGCCACGGATATCTTCCCCAAAGAATTAAAAGAATCACACCACAGTGATATATGTGCACCCATGTCCATATTTCAGTTTGTAATAACTAAAACTTGGAAGCAGCCCAAGTGCCCATCAACTGGAGACTGGATAAAGAAAATGCGTCTTTTTAATAAAATGGAGTACTACTCAGCCATAAAAAATGAGAAATGAGACACATTTATAGCTAAATGGATGCACATTGAGGTGATACTCTTAAGTGAAATAAATAGGGCACACATGTGTAAATACAGAATAGTTTCTCTAGTGTGAGAAATTGAAAGTGTAAATAAGGACTAAAAGGTATAATAGATAAGTGAAATAGGAAGGAAAGGGGCAAAGGGGGAGGGGGAGGGGGAGGGGTGGGGAAAGGAAAGAATGGAATGGAATTAATAAGAGAAAATGAAAAAACGGAAACAAAGTCTTTGTAAATAGGGAGGGATGGAGGGATTGAAGGGAGGGCAGGGCAATGGGGAGGAAATAAGAAGCAAAGGAGATTATGTAAAGGTGCACATTTCCAATGATGAATGTCATACTGTATACTAAAATGCACCAATAAAATTAATTAAAAATTTTTTTGTCAGTATTACCCGCCCCCCAAAACCCCCCCAGGAAAACAGGGACTTGAACAAATATTTTTATACCCATGTCCCTAGCAGCATTTACACAACAGTAAAAGGTAGACACAACTCAAGAGTGTATCCTTGGATAAATGGATAAAATGTAGCATACACATAAAATGAAATATTATTCAGCCTTACAAAGGAAACTGACACATGCTACAAAATGGATGGAACTTGAAGACATTATGCTAAGTTGAATAGGCCAATAGTAAAAGGACAAATACTGTATGATTCCATTTATATGTGATACCTAGAATATCAAATTCACAGAGTCAGAGAGTAATATGTTGAATGCTAGAGGTTGGGAGGTAACCAAGACAGTGTTTACTGGGGTACTGAATTTCAGTTTGAAAGATTAAAAGATTCTGGCACGGGCTGGGGATTTAGCTCAGTGGTTCTTCTGCCTGCCTCGAAAGTGCGAGGTCCTAAGTTCGATCCCAGGTTAAAAAAAAGATTCTGGCAGATAGGGCCCAAGGATGTAGCTCAGTGATAGAGCACATGCTTAGGCATCACAAGGCATCACATCCTTAGCACTCAATGAAAAGAAATGAAATAAAAATGTTTAGGGCTGAGGATATGGTTCAGTGGTAGAGTACTTGGCGAACATGTATAAGGCGCTGGGTTCTGTCATCAATACTGTAAACAAAACTTGCAGATGGCTGGTGGTAATGGTTGTACAACAATGTAAATGTATAAATGCCAAAGATCTGTAAAATTATCAAAGGCTAAGATGGTAAATTTTATATTTTGTGTATTTACCACACAGAAGTACCTGCTCTGCAAGCCTTCCTACTTACTCCTCCCTACTTTAGGATCTCATCTGTTCTAGTCAGGTCAAACAGCTAGCTACTGTCTTTCCTGATCATTCCAGTCTCTCCTTATTCTAACTCAACCTGTGGATCACTGACAGGTTCACCTTGCTGGTTTATCACATTAATCCCTGGCCTCCAAACATTCGAAAACTCTCTATACCTGCCCAAGAGAATAAAAAAACCAAAGCTCAATTCAACATTCATTCTACATGGAGATATCCTTCCAACTGTCTAACATTTCCTATGGAAATCATCTCAAGGAAATTCAGCTGTCAGCTCATCTTAGTCTCCTATTCTCCTCCCCCAAAGTTAATCTTCAATTTATACTTTTGCTCTTCCCTGACAAAGCAACTGCTTCAAACTCTGTAAATATAAACTCTCATTGGCCGGTTAAAGCCCCAAGTGTTCCAGGAAGTTCTTTAGACTCCTGAGGCCTCATTCCATCTCCCTCTGTTCTAAACACCCACAGAATTCTTCCAGACTTGTGTAGGTACATCTTATCTTTTCAATAAGAACCCGACAGGAGTTCTCACTCCTCCTATAGCTAGCTCTAGTAGAAGGTGAAACACAAAGTAGGTCTTCAGTAATCACTTATGTGATTTTTATGTATGAGTTTCAGTGACCAGAATATGAAATGAGAATCATTTGGTTTTCTCGCATTTCTGAGGGTTAATCTATGAAACACTCTAAATAAAATAGCTGTGATCCAACAAGACAACAGCAGGAAATTTGGCAGTTTAACCAGAGAAAAAAACCACAGGTATTTAAGTACTCATATTGGAGTCTGATTCAAGTAAGTTGTTTAAATGTTGGCATTGGGACACAAAATAAGGTAGTATTTAGGTTTTGCGGGACAGAATATTGACCTACATTATTGAATTCACACAAGAAAGAGCTATGCTACAGTAAGATGAAAATGTAATCAATCACAGGGCTATGAAAACTACAAATGAAATGTCAGTTTTTATTAAATTCAGGTTAGGAAAAAAGAAAACTTCAGTTATCTGAGTGAGCTGTCAGAATGAGAGGCACTCTTATTTCTGTTTTCAACTGTACTGCACAAAGATCTAGGGATAGAGATAGGCAGTGTGGTGAAGAATGCAATCAATGAAGACTGGGCAGTAAAAGAGCTCTCGAAATGGCATGTAAAGAGTCCTAGGTCCGAGTTTTGGTCTCACCTCTCATCAACTGTAAGACTCATGCCTGGCAAATCACACACTTCTCTGGGCCTAGATTGCAGGCTTTTAATACAACAGTCATACCACATCTCTACAGGTTTTTCTCACTCCAAAATTCCAAGACAAGTGTAATCACAGCTGCTGTTAACAATGCATGCTTCTTGATTTTTGACTTTTTTTTTGGTACCGGGGATCAAACTCAGGACCTTGCGCTTGTGAGGCAGGCGCAGTGCCACTGAGCTAAATCCCCGGCCCAACAATGCATGATTCTTGTAAAGTCATTTCAAATCTTTCACATTTCAGGAAGAAAGCAATTTATTTCAGCAATCTAAAAGAAATGGATGCTATTCAGAGACAGTTGAAAAAGCTAAGTAATTCTGCGAAAAAAAGAAAAAAAAATGCTTCTTTTCTCGTTGCGGTAAGATGGTTTAGCAAAAGAAACAGTGACGCTGGTAAAGACAGCCAAGACTTCTTCTGTAAATTAGGCCTACTCCAGAGTACTTATTATCTGTGCTGGTTTGTGAAAAGGTGCTATTGTAGTTCAAAGCAGAAACACTTCTCAAACTTTCTCCCAAACCGAAAAGTTCTAGTTTACCTCAGGGGTAAGGTAGTAAACAGTCGTTCAAATGATAAAGCACGGAAAAAGACAAGCTTTTTGTCTTTTCGAGTATTCCAAGGGGAGCAGCTTCCTCGTCTTTATCAAACACTCCGTACTGTCTCCCCCCTACCTGTCAAAGCTCCATTCCAGTTCTACCCTCCAGTGACTTACCGGACAATTTAACTTCTACCGTTGAGAGTAGCCGGCCTCAGGCCTGCGCGGTCCCTAAACCTGGGTCCCAACCCTCATGCCCATCCCTGGAGGTCTCGGCCCTGCGCCCAGTAACAGGCACTTGAGTCTTTGAGGCGGTTTCCTCGAGTTCCGTGAGGGGCAGGTCCCGCCCCTCGGAGCCAGGACCCCGAGCCCAAAGCCGCCCAGGCCGCCGCTGCGACCACCTCAGGCCACCCTCCCGCCACGAGGGCCACACCTCGCGCCTCTATCCCCGGACGGCGGCGCGCTACTCAGCCTGCCCCTCGGAGCGTCCAGGACCGGCCAGTCCGGCGCCACCGCGCCTCGGCCCCGGACAGACGACTCTCCAGTCCTCGCCCCACGCCCCGCGCCTCCCGCGTCGGCCCAGCCCCAGCCCCGGAATCCCCACGCCCAGGCGCAGCCTCTTCCTTGCTGGGACGATCCGCGCCGCGCCGGGCAGAACGTCGGGTTCTCGGGCTCAGAGACACCGAGGGACACTCACCCCGGAGGCTCCTCCTGCCGCTGCTGCTGGGACAGCTGCCGTCACCCCCGCCGCCGCCGCCGCCGCCACCAGCACCGCCGTCCGCACTGGCGCCAGCACCCGCAGCCATCCTCTTCCTGCCGCTGCCACCGCCGCCCTCTCTCCTGTCAGTGGCTCAGGCTCCGGGACTGCTCCAGGTTTCCCTCGCCGCCATTTTGAGTCCTACAGGGAGCAGGAGGGGCTCAGCTCGGCGCGACCCTGTGGCGCCTGCGCGGCGCTGCGGAGCCGGCCCAGGTCCCGCCCGACCCCGTCGAGTCACGTGGCTCGACGTCGGGGCGCGCGCCGGGAAGGGTTGGGAGCCGGGCAGACGAGTGCGCGCGCATTATGCCTGCTAGTTGCCGGGGAATCAGACGGTGGGTCACCTGGAGTTTGCAGGTTGTTGCAACGTCCTGCTTATTAAAAGAAATTGTGACCCATTATTAAATACCTGAAGGGATTTACAATAAGTACGTCATTGGGTAATTCTACCAATTCATATTTCCACTCGGCGGCCGGCATGCTTGGAGTGATCTCAGGATGTAACCCTCTCAAAGAAAACTACGTACGATTCCGCGAAGAAGTCCCTGATAGAGTTGGCGTTTCGGTGGCTGCTTCTTGATAGTGTTTCTTAAGCACTTGTTTGCGTGGTACTTTTACAGGCACCACCTTGCTAGCTGCAGAGTAGATTAAAAAAAAAAAATCTTAGAGGTATAGTTTAGTGGTTATTTTAGTGCGCTTACCTAGCATGTGCAAGGCCCTGCATTGTTCCCCACGTCTGAAAGACACTTAAAAGTTTCCCTCAAGATACTCCATAAACAAAGTACACAATTGATGAAATCCCATATCCCCACGTGGGAGGACGAAATCGCTCTCCTAGATCCTCCTTGTTTGGTAGTTTACAATAATTCCAGCGATGCAGTAATAAAAATGTTTTATATTTATGGAGCACCTTGCAGTTTCCAAAACATAGTTAAATACATGGTTTTGTTCGAACGCCCAAACCACCCTTTCAGGTAGTCGGGGACAGGTGTTGTTATTACTGTTTTACAGCTGAGTAGGCAAGCAAGGAATTCTGATTCTAGTCACTCACCACCATTACACTCCACTACCCTCTGATTTGCCTTAAGAATACGTGATATATTTGTCCTCTAGGAATTTATTTAAAAGTTTTAGCATTTTCTACCCACTCTTTGAGAAACAAACATTCGTACTTTTGGTTTTAAAATTACCTCTGAAAGCAAAGGAAAACCTAAATAAGTCACCAACACTTAATTCTCAGTTAAATCCTCTAGGCTTAACATGCTTCACTTGTTTTTAGTTCTTTTTTTTTCTTAGTTCTTGAATAAACTTTTTAGACAAACTGCTCTTAATTACTTGGTTTTTAGTTGACTTAAATAACACCTCTGACATGTGGATCATGATAGTAAGAGTTGATAAAATATCCCCAAAGCCTAGCTTTGGGAAGGTGGATCTGAGACTTGCTCTCCAGACTGTCTGCCTCCTGTATGAACTTTCTCTTTTGCAAAACTCCTTGTTTCAGTGATTGGCATCCTGTGCACCAGGCAAAACCAGCCTAGTTGTGTAACATCTCCAAGCTTCAAAGGATAAGAGCAATGTGAATTTTTTTCGTGTTTTAAATTGTCTCTTGTTCTTTTATATTTCATATGTTTTGTAATCAGTTGAAAGATTTAAAAAAATTTTTAGAAGTCTTCCAATGGAAAGATTTTTGCCTCTGAATATTCTTGCTTTTCTTTTGATTTATTACGTCTTCCTACATGTTAATTCATCACCTCCTTTCTCCTTGAAAAGAAAGCTCATCCCAATTTGTATTAGTTCACTTTTTCCTCTTTCATCCTGCTTGTTTCCCCTACTGCAATCCTTGAAGATCTGGAGATCTCAGCAAGCAGAGATTATAGGAAGGATTCCCCTCTAGCTACTAAATCTCATCAACTCTGCTTAGACCTCTGGTCAATGGGCAAGAAGTGCATGGAAAAAAAGCGAGAAATTTCAAGAAACGTAAGTTTATTTAATTGGAGCCAATGATTAGTTCTGAGTGCTACTTCCTATTTCCCTACACTATTATACTTTCACTAAATTAAAAATTGAACCTTATCTAAATCCAAGCCACCTGCTATCATTTTCCATTATCTTGCCTTTGTCTTCACCAGCTAAACATTGTATTAACTGATAGAGCTGTTATGTGCAAACTAAAAATTCCATTGTCCATGCTCTTCTTGATGATTTTTTTTTTTTTGGTACCGGAAATTGAACTCAGGACCTTGCTCTTGTGAGGCAGGCAGTAGCGCAACTGAGCTAAATCCCTGGCCCTCTTCTTGATGATTTATTAAAATGTTACATAAAATTAGTCCCCACATTAACACTCATTTATTTCTAATCTTCATTAGTTGACTTTGGTTCTGTTTCTTGGCCACAATTTTAAAAAGAAAATTAAAATGAGATCAACAATAGCATTCTAGGTAATTTGAAAATAACATCATTTTTCTAGAAGTTGTTCATGTGGAAATCTATCAAAGTCTTTTAGAAAAGCCAAACAAGGTCTGCTGGTTGCTAGTTTTACCTCATACTTTCATTTATCTGTATATTTAGAGAACTCTAATAGACTATTTGGGTCCAGAATCCATGTACAAATGTTCCATGATTCTGTCTACCCTTTAATAATCCACTTTTGTATTTTCTTATTATACTGTTTGCTGCACTTTTGAGATACTGAATTGACTCGTTTATACATTCTAAATCTGTGACATACATATTTTTGGTCTTCATCCCAATTTTCTGGCATAGGAGTCCTAAAGTCCTTGAGTCTTCAAAGTGGTGCTTTTTTTTTTGGTACTGGGGATCAAACTCAGGACCTTGTGCTTTCCAGGGCGGTGCATCACCACTGAGCTAAATTCCCCGGCCCATGCATCTCTTTTTGTATTCTAATGAGTTACTGATGTTTAGCATCCTCTAGGTAGCTTCAGGACTCAGGCTGGTCACCAAAAGAACAAGGCAGAATTAGAGGGCTGGGATTTCTAGCCCTTTTTCTCTGACCTTTGAGGAAGAGACAGGAACTACAGGTTAAATTGATTACAAAAGGTCAACAATTTAGCCAGTCATGACTGTGTAACAAAGACTCCGTAAAAACTCAAAAAGAAGGGTTCACAGAGCTTCTGGAGAGCTGAACATAATGGTGATTTCTGGAGGATGGTATGCACAGAGAGGGAATACAGGCTGCACACCCCTTCTCCTCTACCTTGCCCTGTGTATCTCTTCATCTGTATCCTTTGTAATATCCTTTCTAATAAACTGGAGTCTCCCTGAGTTCTGTGTATTGCTCTAGCAAATTAAATGAACCCAAGGAGGGGGTTGTGGGAACCCCAGAGGGGCAGAAGCATAATTAAAGCAATTTGGGGCTTGCAATTGGCATTGGAAGTGAGGATCAGTTTTGTGGAACTGAACCTTCACCTTAGGAATTTAACATTATCTTCAGGTAGATAGTGTCTGTGAAGAATAGACTGTGTGTTGCTCTGATTTACTCCCAAGTGTATAGAACAGTAGCTTTCAGGCTATGCCCTGCTCAGAGAAGTTTGGCTTGAGTTATTCCATTTTGACTATAAGCAAAGGCAGAACAACTGGATAACTTGTCTGAGCAAACGATAATCATCAGATTTTGGGAACATAGAACTTATTGAACAGAACGACCCCAGATATACAACAAGATCATAAGACACAAACTGATTAATTAAGCATGCTAATAACAATTATCACCTGTAAATTTGTCCAATTAAATCAAGGGCATATGGACATATGACTTATCAAAATCATATCCGAGAAACCAGGCCTGTGAACTTATCAGACACACCAGACCAAGAAGCATCCACTTACCTGGTTCATACAAAATGAGGGGCACCTAATAACGTTAGAGTACACCAACACACAAAGACCAATTCTCTTTTCAGATCACCTGGTGACTACATCACCAGGTCAGCAGGTGATGAACTTGGGCTCTGTCCCCAGGCTTCAACTCAGCTCCATCTCCCCGTATGATGCAGCCCACTTGAAACTGCTTGCTGTTGCACTTGGGCTTTGAACAAGCTCTGCACTTTGAACAGCTCTATGCCTTGACAGCTCTGCCTGGATTCATAATCTTATCTGCCTACCTGCACTGATTCTTTTACATCTATATTGGCTCTCTGCCTTTGCTTTCACTTCTGACCCTGAATTCTGCCACTACTGCTAATCTTTTCTTAACTGTTTTGTAACCTATATATTATTGTGTGAAATGTGATATGTAACCTGAGTATTGTAGATATTTGTAATTAAGATTGGAATGGAATAAAAGAACTTGTAATTGCCTCAGTCGTGGCTCCAAGTGAAATCAAGACTACTCAGTGAATTAAAGCTGATAAAATTGACATAGCTTGTGATACACATCTTTTAAAGCATCCAATACCACATGTCAGGCATAGTACTAGAGGCTAGTGTTAAGATGGTACTCAGTAGTGGTGAAGAGTACAGGTTTAGTCAGATTTGGGTGGCATGTGATATAAGCAGGTCAACCAGAACCTCTTCTGGAAATTTCTGTTAGGCTCTTAAAGGAGCTATTTCTTCCTTTATTTCTCTGACTTTAAAAGATATTATAAATTGCCTTCTTTAGGTAAGAGGAGAAAGACCTGTGTAGTAGGAAAGAAGACCATAAACCAGTGATGGTGAATCTTTTAGAGCTTTCAGTGATACAAACAACCCACTGTGGCACACATGCTGTAGGTTTGCCACTACTGCCATAAACAGAAAGAAACAGAGACATTAAGGGAAAAAGAAACCATGACACCATATGAATACCTGTGCCTAAATGTGTGTGATTCCAAGCCATCCCTACTCTTTCCGTTTTTACAAAGGAGCCATTATGTTGCCCTAACTCCTCTTTTTCTCTTAAGCTAATTGCAAGTGGGTAAAAACAGTGGGTTTCTGTTGTCTTCAATCAAGAGTCCCGAATTTATGTTCTTTTCTCTTTTCTGCTTCCTCCATCAGCACACCATTCACTTGGTTAAGCGAAAACTGTAGTCATCTGCATCTAGCTGTGCATACCACTTTCTGTCACTCTAGTCTTTCCTTAATTTCCACTTTTCTGCCATTCATAACCATCTTTTTAAACCCCTTCCCAGGCTTATCTTCCAAAAAACACAATATGAAAGCTGGGTTTTTAAACTCATGAAGAAAAGGCAAATTGTACTTCTTTCTATTGCTTTGCATATAATGATACCTGTTAGGTAAAACAGTGTCGACTCAGTAAAAGAACACAGCCAGCCTGAATTTAGGGTTGAGTGCAGGACCTCCGGAGTAACAGAGGAGAATCTACTGGGAGTATGTTGAACTGGCTTTATCATACATAATTTTTTGAAGGAAGAACTGATTTATTATTTTTTTTTATTAAATTCTTTTATTGGTACATTGTAGGTATACAACACAATTACATTTCTCATTGGGAATTGGACATTTACATAATGCATCTTGGTTCTTATTTTTTCCCTATTCCTAGCCCTCCCTTCACCCCCTCCACCCTTC